GGGCGCTCCAGCATGATATAGGGGCTGTGTCTGAGGATCTCCGTCCACTGCTGGAGGCCATGGAGTGTAGTAGAATGTGGGCAATGGGAAGAGGTGGGGTAGAATTCTCTCCTGCGTTTGTTGGCAGGAAATTCTTGGTTTCCTGAGCAATGTGACTAGATGTGTGTGCTTTTTCTATACTCTGTCTTCCTCTGTTTCTTTGTGGGCAAATGAGAAATCAATTCCAAATAATTTAGACAGCATATTAAATTTCACACAGTAATTTGAGACAGCTCAATTTACATAATTCAAAATGAAACCAAAGCTTGTAGACAAAGAATAAATGGAACCTGGAGAAAGACTTTATTGCAGAGATTTGTACATTTCTACAGGGCATGAATTCTGTAAATCCCACACAATGCATTGTTTAAAGCAGTTCTTCAGTTGTGGCTGGAGTCTAGGGGAAGGGGCTCAGGAGGTCAAAACTATTTTCATAATAATACTGAGGTGTTACCTGCCCCCCTCTCTCGTTCTCTCACAAGTGCACAGTGGCATTTCCAGAGGCGACTTGACATGTATTGACGGCTAATGGGATGTGTGCTTGGGATTCCTCCTCTCTCTCTCTCTTTTTTTTTTCTTGATAGGATTTTTAAAAATTGTGGTAAAATACACATAACATAAAACTTACCACTTTAATCATTGTTTAGTATATATACACTTAAGTGGCATTAAATACATTGACAGTGTTGTGCAACTATCACCCAGTGCTTATTTCCAGAACTTTTTCATTTTCCCAAACTGAAACTCTGTACCCCTTAAAGGGAACTCCCCATCACCTCTCCCTCAGCCCCTGGCAACCTATGTTCTACTTTCTATCTCTATTAATTTGACTACAGACCTCATATAAATGGAATCATACAGCATTTTTTCTTGTCTGTCTAGCTTATTTCACCCAGCATAATGTCCTTTAGATTCATCCATTTTGTAGCATGTGTCAGTTTCCTTCCTTTTATTCCATGGTATGGCTGTACCACATTTTGTTTATCCACTCATCTGTCGATAAACACTTGGGTTGTTTCCACTTCTTGGCTATTGTGAGTAATGCTGCTATGAACATCAGTGTATGGGTATGTGTTGGAGTACCTGCTTTCAATCTTTTGGACATATACCTAAGAGTGCTATTGCTAAAACATATAACAATTCTGCATTTAACCTTTTGAGCATATGCTTGGGAATCTTGTGTTTAAAAACATTTCTCAGTTGTTGTTTTTCAAATTTTATCTTTATTGTTGAAAGTTTTACAGATGTTCCCTTTTTCTCCCCAGTGGCCCCCTTACCCCCACTCTCACCCCCTCAAATATTTCTCAGTTTTATTTTCTCATACAGTAAATGTCAATAGGTATAACCCACATAAATAAAAGATCTTTAGGGTCCTCAGAAATTTTAAGAGCGTAAAGGGGTCTTGGGAGCAAAAAATTTGAGAAGAACTAATATAAGTTCTTGTTTTGGTATCGTGGCCATGCACTTACATGGTGGGGCATGGATTATTTCAAAAAACATCAACAATCCATGGACTAGGAAGAGCCTGCTTAGCTCTTCCATTTTACGCCCAGGGGACAGTCATCACCACAGAAGGCCTTGGGACAGGGCCTTGGGAAAACCAGTAGTGGGAAGAGGAGGTGACTTTGAGCAACTTGAGACAGAAATTGTGCTGGATGCTTTAACAAAGGGCCTCAAGGGGATACTAAGGAAGAAGGGAAAGGAATGTTGATTTACAGCTAGTGTAATGCCAGTTAGAGCCGTCAGAATCACTCGCTGACGTACTAATCAGCTAACTGTGCATCAGTCTACCCCACACAATGCAAGTCCTCGGTTTACCTGCTTTGTTTACTGCTCTGGCCCAGTCATCTAGAGAGTTGCCTGGCACAAAGTAAGTACCAGTAAATATTTTTTGAATGAGTGATTCACATGTGTTTACCAGTGACTCACATGTTGTATTGATTTCAGAACAGCCCCTACACTACAGGTGATTGAGGAAGGGAGAGAACCTTCCCCAGGATATCAGAGGATTGATGACACTTTGTTATAGACTTAAAGAATAAAGGAAGATCTTTGAGCAGTTCAGTTCATCAGACATTTATTGAGTGCCTTCCTTTGTTGGGTGTTGGTTTTGGGGTGGAGGGTAAAGTGTTATCCCTACACTTAAGCTCTAGAACATGGGTTGGCAAACTACAGCTGGCAGCTGACCTCTTGTTTTTGTTCTGTTTTGGTTTTACATGTTGCTGCATGTATTAGTGGTTCATTCCTTTTTATTGGTGAGTAATAGTCCATTGTATGACTATACTGCAGTTTGTCCATTTATTTGTTTTGGACATTTGGGTTGTTTCCAGCTTTTGGCTACTATAAATAAAAGTATTCTGAATAAGTCTTTGTACGGACATGTACTTTCATTTCTCTTGGGTAAATAACCAGGAGTGGAGTGACTGGGTTATCTGGTAGGTGTATATTCAAGCTTTTAGAAACTGCCAGTTGTTTTCAAAGTAGTTGTACCATTTTGCATTCCCATTAACAATGTAGGAGAGTTACTTCACATACTTGCCAGCAGTTGGTATTATTATTATTATTTTTTACCACTAATAAGTATGTAATGGTATCTCATTATGGTTTTAATTTCCTTATGTGCTTATTTACCATCTGTATATCTTCTTAAGTGTCCATTAAAATCTTTTTCCCATTTTAAAAACTGGGTGGGATGGCCCGGCCAGTGTGGCTTAGCAGTTGAGCATCAACCTATGATCCAAGAGATCAAGGTTCGTTTCCTGGTCAGGTCACATGCCCACTTGCAGGCTTGATCCCCAGTAGGAGGCATGCAGGAGGCAGCCAATCAATGACTCTCTCATCATTGATGTTTCTCTCTCTCTCCCTCTCCCTCCCTCTCTCTGAAATCAATAAAGACATATTTTAAAAATGAATGAATAAATATAAAAACTGGGTGGGTTGTCTTATTGAAATTTGAGTGTTCTTAATATTTTTAAATTGATTTTTAGAGAAGAGGAAGGGGGGAGAGAGAAACATGGATGTGAGAGCTGAACATCGATCTTCTGCCTCCTACAAGCCCCCTACTGGGGATTGAGCCCACAACCTGGGCATGTGCCCTGAGTGGGAATCGAACTGGCAACTTTTTGGTGCACGGGACAACACTCAACCAACTAAGCCACACTGGATAGGGCAGAAAAGTGAAAAGTTCTCAATTTTAATGAAGTCCAGTTTATCAACTTTTTGTTTTAGAGATCAGATTTCTGGTATATGTATCTAAGAAATCTTTGCCCTACTCAGGGTCACAAAGATTTTCTTATGTTTTCTAGAAATTTTATAATTTTAGGTTTTCTAGTTAGGTCAGTGATCAATTTTGAGTTAATTTTTGTTACACGGAATAGATCAAAGTTCTTTTTTAAAAAGTTGATATTCAGCCTTGACCAGTGGGGCTCAGTTGTTTGGGCATCTTCCTGTACACCAAAAGGTTGCTGGATGGCTCGATCCCCAGTAGGGGATGTGCAGGAGGCAACCAATCTATGTTCCGCTCTCACATAGATGTTTCTCTCTCTCTCCTTCTCTCTGCCTCTCTCTATAAAAATCAGTTAAATAAATTGATATCCAGGTGTTCCGGTACCATTTGTTGAAAGGACGATTCTTTCTGCAGGGAATTGCCTTTGCACCTTTCTCATAAATCAGTTGCCCACTTACGCCTATTTCTGGACACACTGTTCTGGTTTCGTTGATCTTGATGTCTGTCTTGATGCTTATGCCAGACTGTCTTGATTACTGTACCTTTTAATAAGTGCTCAGTTCAGGTAGTATGAGCCCTCCAGCTTTGTTCTTACTTTTCACAGTTGTCTTGGGTATCCTAAGTCTTTTGCATTTCCATATGAATTTTGGAATCAGTTTGACAGTTTCTAAAAAAAGGCCTGCTGGAATATTGATTGGGATTGCATTGAATCTGTAATGGATTTGTGTAAAATTGATATCTCCATAGTACTGAGCTTACTGATCCATGAGCACTTTAGGTCTTTAAAAAATTTCTGTTAGCAATATTCTGTAATTTCAAGTGTATAGAATTTGCATATCTATCATTATATTTATTCCTAAGTGTTTCCTGTTTTTGATGCTATTGTGATGGAAATTCTTAAATATTTAAATTTCTGGAAGAATTTGTATGGAATTGATATTATTTCTTCCTTAAATATTTAGTAGGACTTTTCAGTGAAGCCATCTGGGTCTGGAGTTTTCTTTGTGCAAAGTTTTTAAACTAAAATTCAATTTCTTTTATAGCTACAGGGCTACTCAGGTTATTGATTCCTTTTTGAGTGAGCTTTAGTAGTTTGTGCCTTTCAAGGAATTTTTTTTAAATGTGCTTATTTGACCCATATTTTTACTTTTACCTATAGGCTGTTGAGAAGTGTGTGAGTTGTTACCATGTAGTTAGATTTCTCAGGTATCTTTATGCTGTTATTTTTAATTTAGTTCAATTGTGGTCAAACAACATACTCTGTATAATTTCAGTCATTATAAACTCACTGAGATTTGTTTTATGGCCCATAATATTCTCTATTATGGTCAATATTATGTGTGCATATGAAAATAATTGTGTATTCGCCTGTTTTTGGGTGGAGAGTGTTCTGTAAGTGTCGGTTTGGACTAGTTGGTTGATAGTGTTGTTCAGGTTGTCTGGAGGAGAGCAAAATCTCTGACTATGATTGTGAATTTGTCTTTTAGCAGTTATAGCAGTTTTTCATAGGTATTTTAAAGCTTTGCAATAGATTAATAAACATTTAGGATTATTATGTTCTTTATCCTTTTTTAAAAAAATGTTTTTATTGATTTTTTTTTTTTTTTTTTAAGAAAGAGAGGAAGGGAGAGGGAAAGAGAGGGAAACATCCATGTGAGAGAAACATCAATCAGTTGCCTCCCACATGCACCCTGACTGGGGCTTGAACCCGAAACCTGGGTATGTATCCTGACCAGGAATGGAACCAGTAACATTTCAGTGCACAGATGACGCTCAACCAACTGAGCTGCACTGGCCAGGGCTACAGTTATAACTTTTAATGTCCTTGTGTATATTCTCATTTGTACAATTTCTCAGTCAGTTTTGATCGACTGAATTTTTTCTCATTTTGGTTGTAATTCCCTGGTTCTTTGCATGGCTGGTAATTTTTTATTGAATGCCACACTTTGTGAATTTTGCCTTTTTGGCTGCTGCATATTTTTGCATTCCTATAAATATTCTTGAGCTTTGTTCTAAGATGTGACTCCGAAACAATTTGATTTTGTTAGCTCTTGCTTTTAATCTTTGTTAGGCAGGACTGAGCAGCATTTAGTCTGGAGTTCATTTTCCCCCATTAATGAGGCAAGACTCTTCTGAGTACTTGATTCAGTGCCCCCAGGAATGAGGCAAGACTCTTCTGAGTACTTACTTGATTCGGTGCCCCCAGGAATTAGGAGTTTTTCCAGTCTGGCTCCAGAACGGGGACTGTGTGTAGCCCTGCTGAATTTTGGTTACTCTTCCTTCTTACCCTTTAGGGTGGTTCTTTCCCCAGGGGTCCCTCTGTGCATCTCCAGAGTCTTGTTTGTGCAGCTCTTTCTCCTCTGGTGATCTCCAGGGCACTGCCCTGTGAGCTCTTCATGCCTTGGTTTCCCTCAGTTTTTAGCTGCATCTGTTCATCTCCAAGTCTTCTGGGCTGTCCTAGAGTCCCTCCCCCTGCTTTATAGCCTGGAAATGTTCTTCAGGCAGCAAGGCTCGCTTGTGTGTTTTCTGACTCTTGGGGATCTCTGTTCTTCGTTGCCTAATATCCAGTGTCTGGAGAACTGGTGTTTTGTTATATTTTGTCCTTAGTTGTAGGTAGACCGTTCACTCATTCCTGTAACTCCATCCATTCTTCCTGTGTCATCACATTACAGTGTAGGACTTCATCCCTCATGCCTCAGTGTTTTCCCTTGGTTCCAAGGTTTGCCCATTTATCAGCTGCCACCTCAGTTCTGGAGTCTGCCAGAGATCCCTGAGGTCCTTTTTCTTCAAGGACCAGAGAGTAAGTTTTTTGGCTTTGCAGGTCATACAGTCTCTCATGCAACTACTCAGCTCTGCTGTTGTAGCTCAAAAGCAGCCATAGGCAGTATATATTTGTGGCTGTTTTCCAAGAAAAGTTTATTTTTAAAAATGGTGGGAAGGGTGGGAGTTAGCCCATGGGCTGTAATTTGCCAACCCCTATCTCAGTTCAAGACCTTACTTAGCTAAGTTATTTAATGTTTTTGTCTGGTCTCCTATTTTAATTGCTTCCAGAAACCATTGCCAGTGATATCTGCTTAAAACACGAATCTTATCACATTACTTATTGGCTCCCCACAGCATACCAGATAAAGGTCAGAATTATCTTACCCTCAAAGCCTCCACAGTCTGATCCTTCTTACATTTCCAATCTTATCTCCAGTGATTCCACATCTGTCAACTCACACAGCCTAATTGGCATGTTCCCCTGCCTTTTGATATTTTCTTAAGCCCTGCTTTTTCTGGATTGCTCTTCCCTTCCTATTATGTTATATGTACTTCTGAAACCATCAACCTGCCTTGGGAACCCTGTTCACACCCCACCTTCTTTAAGAAGCATCCAGAGCAGTTCTCTCATGTTGTTTTAGCATACATTTGTGCTTCGTCAGAAACCTGAGTGTGTATGTGTGTCCGTATATGTCTATCGAGCGTATGTGTGTTTTCTCTATTGACCCAGAATCCCTCAGGAGGTTAGAGGTGTGCCCTCTTGTTTCTGTCTCCTCTGCAGTGCACAGCAGAGCCTGACGTGGAGCAGAAATGCCGCAGTATATGTTTGAGTGGGTGGCGCATAAAGGTCAATGTTTTGGGGGGTTGCGATGCTCTGGGTACTTGTGGCAGTTTGGGTACAGCTCTTGGCTCTTCCTTGGGGCATGCGTGCAGGCCCCCAAGGAAGCAGGCTGTAGGCAGGCTGCCTGGTGTCTGGCCCACGCTCATGGGGACCAGGTCGTGGCAGGACCAGGCGGTGACAGGCCTGGCCGCTCCAGGTCTCCGCTGCTACTGCCACTTCCTCAACGGCCTCTTGCCCTTTGGTTTCACAGAGCTGCGGTGCAACCCTGGGCAGTTTGCCTGTCGCAGCGGCACCATCCAGTGCATCCCCCTCCCCTGGCAGTGTGACGGCTGGGTGACTTGTGAGGATGAGAGCGACGAAGCCAACTGTCCAGGTGAGTGTGTCGGGCAGTTAGATGCACGTGGCCCATGCTTCCCATTACGGGGAGATGGTGTCAACTGGTACCCCATGCTATATCCTTGTGCTGGAAGATTATTTTGAGCTCCTCCTCCCCTCTCTCTTTATCTTTTTAAAAAATAGATTCTTGACAGGTAGATTTCAGAATTTGTAAGATGCCAGGGTCAGGCCATCTGTGGTGAGGCAAGAGAAGCTCCCATGATGCCACATTTTGGGAGGTGCTGCTGGCCCTGAGAGCAGTGCCTGAAGTGTGGTGGCTTCTTGCCCCTCTCTTGCCCGACTTTGGAGGTAGATGTCTGTGAGACTTGACTAGAATCCTGACAAGGGACATTTAGACTGGCTTTTCCTATCTGTCCTACTCACTCAGTCACTAGTATAATCTTTCACTTGGGGTTTTTCTCACGATGATGTGTCTTCTCATAAAGACATAGAATGCCACAGAAAGTCTAAATCATTGGTCCTCCACCTGGTTTCTGTTCCAGCACCCTCAAAGAATATTACACACCCAATAAGTAATGGTGTTCACTACACCTCTGGTACTCAACTTTGGTTAGGGTGGACAGTATAGTGTCTCGCATGTACTCCTGCAGGTGTGTGTGAGAGAGACACACACACATACACACGCTAATGTGTCCAAGACCTGGGTGGTTCTGGTAAATGCCCTAAGAGGAAGGAATCTCAGACCTAAACTCTTGGGCTTCGCATTCAAATTTCTTCACAAGCTGGCTTGTTTGGTTTTTTTGCCAATCCAGTTTTTTATCTTCCCTTCAGTGACTCAGCTAAGCTATTTCCTGGGCGCAGCCCATTAAGAATTTCATAGCCACATACTTCATTTATGCCTTTCTCTTTTCGTGGAATCCTCTTGTGTTGTTTCTGTGTGGACAGATTCTATCCATCCTTCAAGGTTTGGCTAGATGATTCCACAACAAGAAAGCATCTCTGGGCCCATTGGCTATAGGTTGGCTTCTGCTAACACCTACTCTGTCCCTCTCTGACAGCATGTAGAACCGCTGGTAGTTCTTACCATCACTTGTGCCCATGCTTAATCTCCTTCCAGACTGAATTCCCTGAGGACAGGAGGCCTATCCTCTTCCTTAGTGGGACCTGGCCTAGGATGGGACCCTTTTCAGCATTCAGTAAGTGAAAAGAGTATTGTAATTCCTATAGGCCAGGTGCTGATTAACTCCAACCAGGGGATGAGATGGGACATCAAGGAGATTTTGACATTTGAGCTTAGGACAGTTCATTGAGGGAGCGTTCCAAAATAAGAAATAGAGGTGGTCTGTTTGGACTTATTTGCCTGTAAAGGGGCCCCTTTCAATCATCCCTTATGCCTGTTCTTTCTTCATTGGGTGTGTATGTCTGTGGTTGAGGCATCTGCCTTTCCAAATGAGAGTTTTAATGGTGGTGGCTGGGTTAGGAGCCTCTGGGATAGCCCTGTGTTTGGGAGACCACCTAGTCATTCCTTGGGTCACAACCCAAACAGTGTAAACTTCCCAGTACTTCAGATGTAAGTTCTATGTGCTGTGTCAGCCTGGAGAAGGGAGGGTGATCGTGCCTGGGAGCTTCCCCTCATCTGACTTATGGGGTGAGACTTCATATCTAGCCTCCTAGAGAATTTTCCAAACAAAGAACCAAATGGTTCTTGGCTTGCTTTAAAATGGAAGCATGGTTTATCTGCTGTTTTCAAAGGGCCTTTTGGCTTAGCTTTTAAGATTGTGTGTAATAACTGCCCTGTTACAGATACTGAAAACTATGATACTCACTCATGGTTCAGCTTTTTCATCTATCAATGCACTGTGGACTGAAGGCAGGGACTAGATCTGATTTCTCCTTTGGGTTACATGGTTGGCACAGAGGGCTACAAGTCCCTTCAGTCTAACTGTTGACTTGCATAGGTTCCTGTATTTTCTCCCCAGACAGAAAAATAAAGTCTATCCTACAGGAGCCCAGAGTTCTGAGTAGATGATGTGTTCCGGTCCCCAACCATTGAAGGCGTGATGACAATGACAGTGTGCAAACACAAACTCACTGAGGCCTAACAGAGTCGTGTATGCTCAAGGAGAAGGCTGAGACCCTGTTGGACCACTTAGCCTACCTCTGCTTTCCCGTTGACTCCCATTACTGTGCCTGTCTTCTGGTGTAGTGGCACACCCTGATCCAGGTGGAATAGCAGACTGATTTCTGATTGTTTTAGAGTTGGGATTCTGAGAAATTTAAATTATCATAATATACAAAGAATAAGTTTCTCACGTCCCTGAATTAATAACTGTTGAAATTTTGTCATATTTCTTTCTAGTTTATTTTAAAAGAAATTAACTTTTGTAAAAATCATGGATATAGATTAAGTACTCATTAACCTATATGAGGGGGGTACAGACAGGAAGTTAGCTAATAATCACCTTTGCTGTGACCTTCCTATTTGTAGGGAGCATTTAAACCATGCTTAGTCAGTTTGTTTTTGAACATAGACTTTAGGACTCTGGAATGACCATGTGAGATTATTTCATTGCCCTGCTAAAAGCCTGCTAAAATTACAATAAGATATAAAACCACAGGGTCAAAGAAAATGGGAAAAGATGTAACAGTAGATCAGTAATTTCAGCGTGGTTATGGAAAATAGAAAATGGGTGATATGCTAGATATAGTCTGGGCATTCAGTACATTCCCTGCCTTTTGGGGCTGGAAGGCTGGAGCTGTAATAGTCAGACCCCCTGCCAGTAGGCTCCAGGGTATCATTTAGCCCATGAGATCCTTCCCATGAAGTTTGGAAGGTGGAAGATAGGTAGAAAAATCCTCCTTCCTCTGGCTCTGGTGTGGGTGTGTGGCCTAGACTGAGGTGAGCGAGTACAGTGGCTTCCACATTCCCCACTGGCCAGCTGTCTCAGGGCTGCAGGACAGCTGCAATCTGGCAGCAGTTTTCTGCAGTTTCCTCACCTGTGAATGGCAACAGCAGCTTCCTGACTCTGGACTGCAGCTGCAGTGGTGAAATAGACAGAGGTGGCCCACTTTCCTTAAACTCTCGCCTTTTCTGTTGTTTCGAAAGCACTTCTTCCCTGTATTAAACCCCTTTGTGTTTGAAATAGTTTGCATGGTTTCTGTTCTCCTAACTGAACCAGCTTTGATATAAATGGGAACTAACAGAAGATGTGTAAAATTTTTAATGGAGAAAAATTTACAACTTTATTGAGTCATTAAAGACGACTTGAAAAAATAAGAGACAGGATGTTCTTGGCTAGGAAGACTCAATGTGGTCAAGCTGCCTGTTCTTACATTGATCTGTTGACTCAGTGCATCTCCAGAGGGTTTTTTTTTAAATGTGACAACTTAGTTCTAAAATGTTTAGAATAAGAATCTCCTAATATTGTTAGGGCACTTTGAAGAAGAGTGAGGAGTGAGCACTTGCCTTACCAGTGTCAAGGCTTACTTTACCATTGGCTCAGGGTAGCATGAATTGGCCAGTGGGAGAGAAGAGCTGCCAGAAACAGACCTGAGAAACTTGATATATGGCAGAGGTGGAATTACATATCACTGGGCAAAAGTTACTAGATTCTTCAGTATGTAGTGCTGTGACAGTCTGAAAAGAAGGAAATTGGAACCCTAACATACAGCATATCAGGAAAATCAGTCTCAGGTTAATTAAAGAAAAACTTCTAGAAGCTAGTTTAGAATACCTAAGATCTTCCATTTATCAAAAGGTAGCAATAAAGAATGTGAACAGAGCCTTGGGCACTTACAGGATCACCCAACAACAGCAGAATACACTTTTTTTCTCAAGTGCACATGGAAGATTCTCCAGGATAGACCATATGTTAGACTACAAAACAAGCTTTAATAAATTTAAAAGATTGAAATCATACAAAGTATATTTTCTAATCACAATGGAATGAAATTGGAAATCAACAGAAGAAAGCTAGAAAATTCACAAATACCTAGAAATTCACCAACATACTTTTTTAAAAGATTTTTTAATTGATTTTTAGAGAAAAAAGAAGGGGTGGGGGGAGAGAGAAACATTGATGTGAGAGTGAAAATCTATCAGCTGCCTTCTGCATGCCCCCCACCGGGAATGGAGCCCAAAACCTGGGCCTGTGCCCTGACAGGGAATGGAACCAGCAACCCTTCGGTACATAGGAGGATGCCCAACCAACTGAGCCACACTGGCCAGGGCCACCAGCACCCTCTTTAAAAAGTCAGCATCAAGAAGAAATCACAAAGGAAATTAGAAAATATCTTGAGACAAATGGAAATGAAAACACAACATACCAAAACTAATAGGAAGCAATGAAAATTGCTAAGAGAGAAATGTATAGCTGTAAACACTTAAATTTTTAAAAAAGAAAGATTTCAAATCAACAACCTAACAGTGTACCTTAAGGAACTAGAAAAAGAACAAACTAAACCCAAAGATAGCAGAAGATAGAGAATTGAAAAACAATTGAAAAACTCAATAAAACCAAAGAGCCACAAAATTGACAAACCTTTAGCTAGATTGACAAAAGAAGGATGTCCACATAACTAAAATAAGAATGATGTGTGCCTTCTTTGAATATGTATTTTTCTAATTGATTTTTAGAGAGAGAGAAACATTGATGAGAAACGTAATTGATCGGCTGCCTGCTGCATGCCCCCTACTGAGGATCGAGCCTGAAACCCAGGCCATATTCCCTGCCTGGGAATCGAACTGTTACCTCTTGGTTTCTGGGTTGATGCTCAGCCACTGAGCCACAGTGGCCAGGCAAGGTATATCTTCTTTGGAGAAGTTCAGATCCTTTGCCCATTTTAAAATTGGATTATTTGTGTTTTTGTTGTTGACTTGTAGATATTCTTTATACATTCTGAATATTAACCCCTGATCAGATATGATTTACAAATATTTTCTCCCACTTCGTAGACTGCCTTTTCACTCTGTTCAGTGTTTCATTTAACGCACAGAAGTTTCTAATTTTGATATAGCCCAGTTTTTCTTTTGTTGCC